AACTACACTACTAAATAAATAATAGTAAGTATATAGAATACTAGACTTATGTATCTATTTAATTAATTATGTATATATATATATATATATATATATAATGCTAGTACTAATTATGTTAAACATAAAATGGGCTTACGTAATGAGTCGAGTTATTGCCGAGTTGGATTGTGAATCTAGGGTTCGAGACGTGATGATGCTGAACTCGTTCTACACTTTCAGTTGTGGGCGTGTTTTAAAAGTGACCCCCCAATCGCGTTATTCCACGTAATAAGCCGGACTATGCCCTTGAGGTGGTGAATCCTGCTGTTCCCGAATCTAATCTGGTAATCTAATCTGACTGTTTAGCATGCGTTCTCATAAAACGCCGTTAAAATTGAAAATTCCTATTCCGAACTTACACAAATATCGATATATATATATATATATATATATTCGTGAAGACCCGATTGCAGTTTACGAATATGTTTTCTTCATAGGATTCACATTCTAATTGTTTATCTTTTGAATTAGTAAAAAATAAATGCAAAAGAACTATTGCCGGTTGTTATATTTTAGAGTTTTTGGTTCTTATAAAATAGAATTATCGAGAAAGAAGCTACCAGTGGGAATATATAACCTCAGGTGAAAAAAATATAACGCTAGTAACTTATAGATGCTCGTGAATTTTGTAGACCTGCTGGAATCTTAGCGTACTGAATCACTCTGTGGTTAATATGCTGCAAGATTAAACTTATTTTAGTTTCTACTTTAAACAAACTGGATTTTATTCTACAGAAATTGCGAAGTAGTCACGATTCATGTTTATATATTTTTTTACACCTTTGTAATCTTATTTTATTTTTCAAGTTATCCTTCTTTTCCTAATTTTGGATTTGAATGGTTAAATATATTTCTTAGTTTTAAGTAGATGATCAAACCTTCAAATTGAAACAGTAATCTGTGAAGACCTATTTAACTGGACAACATAGCGTGAAACAGTAAGCTGTGAAGGCCTATTTAACTGGACAACATAGAGTGAAACAGTAAGCTGCGAAGGCCTATTTAACAGGACAACATAGAGTGAAACAGTAAGCTGCGAAAGCCTATTTAACAGGACAACATAGAGTGAAACAGTAAGCTGTGAAGGCCTATTTAATTTGACAACATAGAGTGAAACAGTATAGTTGTGAAGGCCTATTTAATTTGACAACACAGAGTGAAACAGTAGGCTGTGAAGACCTATTCAACTGGACAACATAGAGTGAAACAGTAAGCTGTGAAGGTATAATTAATTTGACAATATAGAGTGAAGCATTAAGCTATGAAATCATTTAATTTGACAACACAATATTGGTGAACAATTCTCGAAACGATCTGTAAGTTCTAATATACTTTATTTTTTTAAAGTTAATGTTATTAATAATGTTGAATATAATGTTTGAAATATTTTAAATATATCATTGTTAATTTTACGCTTAGGAAGATTTTTTTTGTGTGCATTATTTCTGTATTTCTGAACATGTTTAAGCTTTTCCAAATAGACTTCGGACAACACTGTATCAGCAACATTTCTTATTACACAAAATAAGTAATAATTTGTCGTTCTAGCATATAACGATTGTTCCATAAAGAACGCCCCCCAGTGGCACAGTGGTATGTCTGCGGACTTACAATGCTAGAATCCGGGTTTCGATACCCGTGGTAGGCAGAGCACAGATAGCCCATTGTGTAGCTTTGTGCCTAATTACAAACAAACAATCTACCGCCTACTCTTGGGCTACTCTTTTATCAACGAATAGTGAGATTGACCGTCACATTATAACGCCCTCACGGCTGAAAGGATGAGCATGTTTGGTGTGACAAGGATTCGAACCCGCGGCCCACAGATTGCGACTCGAGCGCCCTAACCACCTGGCCATGCCGGGCCAATATTAGGTAATAAAAATAGAACCCTAGCTAGCCTCTGACCCCCAGAGAGAAGAATAATAATCTATAAATTTCACCAAGTTTAGAGACGGTTTGAAAGAATAAAGAAGAAAACTTTATTAAAAGTTTAACACAGTGATAAATATACGACGTTTCGAGAAGGTTTCTTAATCATCAGGTACTAAACTAACTCTATTAGTCCCTAAGTAGGTTCCTCGTTATCAAATTTGAGCTCATAAAACTTAGTTCGTCACGTTTTTTGTCGAGCTCCTTTTGTTTCAAGGCTATTTCTAAGCCGTTTTAATTCTTTCTTCCTTTGTAATTATCCTAGATGGCCTTTAGTACGCAATCGATGCAAAGGAATAGTTTGAGACCGTTAAAAGTGATTCGAACTCTGATTCTCTCATGCACGAGTCGAGAGAGAAAGCTAGCACAAAGACTGACCCACTTATATTTCTTTTTTTTTTTTGTGCAACCAATTTCTTTCATATACTCTCTAGCTCGTTAGGTTACGGCACACACACTGTTAGTCCATCAGCATGTTAACGCTTTCGTGGCTGGTTGAGATTGACAAAACGCTACTTCACCATACATCCCGATACGACCACTTGTGCGTAATAAACTAATCTATAGACCTCTCCAAGGAACGCAACACGACTGTCGTTGAAACGTGTGTGACAATTACCTCTTTTTTTTTTCAAATGACTCGAATTAGATTTCTTAATAACTTTGTTTTTGTTGCTCTCGCTATATTTTAGTATTTAGATACCCTAAAACAAGAAAAAAACATTGAACTGAAAAAAAAAGGCACTAATTCTTATTGGTTTTTGGAGAACACATACAATATTATAACCTTTCCAATCAATGTCAGGATGAAATGTACTCTGTTATTTTATGATGCGCAAATTAGATAAATACTGTATATGAACACTGACTGAAACAAGGTGTAACTAATAGAAAAAAGGTAGAATTTGTCTTTTATTTTTCATATAATGCTTTCTTTTTTAAATGTTTAAACTTCTGTTTGACTCATGCAAGGAAGTCTATAGAGTTTCTTTAATGAAGAGCGAGAAATTAATTTTATATATATATTATTTGTTTTTTGTATATATATATATATATAATATTGTTTGTTTGTTTGTTCGAAGTTAAGCACAAAGCTACACAACGGGTTATCTATGCTCTGCCCACCACGGGCTGTTCTGCTGGGGGCTATAATATAGTAAAAATAAGGAATTGTAGTTATTAAGTCTTAGAACAACTTTTTGTTTTAAACACAAAAAACGTAAAATGTTTTCTAATACATTTCTTGCTTTATTCAAGATCAAAGATAACAAGAAAAATACAGATAGTTTTATCTATAATAATTAAATTGTTTCTTGCTTATTAAACTCAACTTATCTTCACGAAACGAAAGTTTACTTTCCTAAGAATGTAATGTTATCAGGTTCCTTTTTTTAACTCCACTATTCACAAAAGGCCTAGACTACTATTTCATGCACTTTGTATATCGTTATTACTTAATATTATATTCGAAGAATGTGGCTTAGTTACGAACGTAAATAGGAGTTTATTTAAGTTGAGGTGCTTGTCTTTTGGTAAACGCGAATTGTTTGATTTTTCGTTAACCATTATTTTGTTATCTGTATCTTGTAAGAAACCTAACTATAAAATCAAATTCAATCTAGATTACGTTGAGACAAATAGTACTTGAATGAAGTTGATAAAATTATATAAAAAATTCCGTCTATAGTATAGATTTAACGTGATCCCTTTCAGGATCGTTCTTTCAGCTATCGTCTTTCTAAACTGTAGAATAATAGGATAATTTGTGATATTACTTTCTATATTGTATTTTTAGAAAATAATTTCATCTTTTCATATTTTCCAGCCGTCTTCAATGGCAAGCTTTAGTGTACCAGAATTTTTACTATAATCCTTATAAGCGGATTGTTTGCATGCTCTCTGTTAGAGGGCTTTTAGGGTTCCGAAGGAATTAAAAGCTGTCTTTAAGAAAACATTAAAACAAATGATATATAAAGATACGCCTGGAATTTCTGGAAATACTATCAAAGAAATGATTATTGACCTTTGCACTTCGTAATATGTAATGTCAGTCCAATCATACTAGTATTACGATGGCTTTGTTGTAGTTATTTTACCAAATTTCAAATATGAGTGAAATGGAAAAACAAAAAAAGTATAATTTAAAGGTTATAACTTAAACTTGAGAAATCAGTCTTTAGATACTGAATGTCTATGATATAACCATGGCTTCTTAGAAAAATTTCGAAACTGAATAAACAACAACAACGAAACAAGTTACGCAGAGCTTATGCAACAAGCAATTAACTGCTATACTGTTGCCTTTTCAGGTTTATCTGTATGTTGTAAGTAAACCACAGATGTGGTAAAATCATTTGTATTTAATTTTTTTTGTCACTTGTCAACTCATTTTATGGATTTCAAAAAGAAAGAAGACAGTTTATGCCAAATAAGAATTATTCTTTACAGAAAGAATCCACCAAAAATACTCTGACTTGAAAGGAGGTATCCTGGTCGTTGAACTGAAGAAAGGTCCAAATGGACTCGGAATCAGTTTGGTAGGAAACAAAGATCGAACCAAAATGAGTGTGTTTGTGTGTGGTATTAATCCAAATGGAAGTGCAGCCCGTGATGGTCGAGTTCAAATCGGAGATGAACTTTTGGAGGTAATTGACACAGGTTGATAATTTTTTTTGTTAGCTTTAAATTCATTAAACAGTTAAAATATAAAAATGATATATTGATTTTTGTTTTTCTTCACATCTTTACTAAACATTTTGTTAAATAGCTTTTAATACTCGAGTACAGTTTTTTTTTCATTCAAAGCATGCCTAAAATAAAATACTATATTAAAATTTCTACGAGCTTTTTTTATTTTTTAAATATTATCCATTCCTCTAATTAAACGTAACGTAATAAGCAAGATTTCTAAACTCGTTAACCTGAAAGTAAAAAAATATGATAAAATGAAAAACAGATTTTTCTTGATAAATAAAAAAGATTTAGTAAATTTGAGGCCCTACACTATGTATAATTATCTTGTTTTTTTCACAATCCTTTCATGGTTAAATTTTGTATATATTTGTTTCTAAAAATAAAATATGTTGTATCAGACAAGTACACTATGTTGAGTATTTAAATTATTTGTTATCTTATTCTTATTAGATTTAGCCAAAATAAAAACAAAAACAAAAAACAAAAACGTGAAGATATCTTCACCTTACCAGCAGTTGGTATGGTTGTGAAAACCTATCCATTCCCCAAGAAGACGTGAGAGATTTTGTTCATTATACAGACACGTGGTATGATTGTGAAAACCTCTCCATTCCCCAGGAAGACGTGAGAGATTTTGTTCATTATATGGACAGTTGGTATGATTGTGAAAACCTCTCCATTCCCCAGAAAGATGTGAAAGATTTTATTCATTATTCGGACAGTTGGTATGATTGTGAAAACCTCTCCATTCACCAAGAAGACGTGAAAGATGGTGTTCATTCTACATACACTTGGTATGATTGTGAAAACCTCTCCATTCCCCAGGAAGATGTGAAAGATGTTGTTCATTATACGGACAGTTGGTATGATTGTGAAAACCTCTCCATTCCCCAGGAAGACGTGAAATGTGTTGTTCATTCTACAGACACTTCGTATGATTGTGAAAACCTCTCCATTCCCCAGGAAGACGTGAGAGATGTTGTTCATTCTACAGACACTTCGTATGATTGTGAAAACATCTCCATTCCCCAGGAAGACGTGAGAGATGTTG